ACGTCGCGGCTGCGTCCTTTGAGTGCGGAGACCATCTTGCGGGTTACTTCGCGGCGGGCTTCCATGGCACGGATGCGTGATCGGAGGATGGAGGCGGTTGGGAGCATGCTCTCGCTGCCGAAACCGCCGCTGTTTGTGGATTCTTCGGCTGCTTCGAGCATGGCTGATAACTCAGTCTCCCATGACGCTGAGGGGTTGGGCTGTGATGAGCGCTGTTGTTCGTTCATTAGGCGGAGCTGCTCGTCTTCGCGGGCATGTGCGAGGTTGGACACCTTCTGCCGAGCAAGTTGCTGCTTCTTGACGGTGGAGGTTAGCTGTTCGAGATTGCGGCGGGCGTCACCAAGCTGGGTCGAGGTCGTGCGCAGCGTCGCATGCATGGCGTCTAATGAGACTTGCTTGGACTTCATTTCCTGCTGGAAAGCTGTTCCCGTCTCGCCGAGGAGATGTGTGATGGCTGCATCGTGTCAGCTACTATGCTACATAAAGGTATCGCAACGTGGCTATGGTGGAACTTACACGCAATAATCTCATCACTGCTCTCTCGCGTCCTTTGACTCGACCCGGCAGCGCCGTTCTTCTCAGCTGGTATTTCGCTGCTGGTCTTTTCCTCTGCATTGTCACCACCAATGCCAAAATCAAGAGGTCGCAGGCCGACACGATTGGCAATGTTGGGGTCTGCGCCGACCTCGAGAAGCTGTGAGATTATGCTCCGGTTGCCAATTCTAGCCGCGATATTCAAAGCGGTGTCACCTGAACTATCCTGAGCATTGACAATTTCACTCATGAAACGAGCAATTCCCATCTTAGGAATGACGGATTGTGAGCTATTGGGAACGCTGCTATTGGCCTGGCTGCTCGGTACGCTACCCTGTCGAACAACCCATTCCAAAAGGCTCTCTAGATAATATCGACTAGCAGCATTGCGACCTTTGACGGCGCTGGTTACAGCAATATGATGCAGCACTGTTCGACCCTTGTGGTCTCGAGACTCGACGGTGCCTCCAAGGACCTCGAGAAGATCAGGAAACGAGCCTTGGTCCATCGAATTCGTGACTAAACAGGCCCTCATTAACGCAGTTTCACCGGATGCATTGACCCGGTATGGAGATGCGCCGGCTGCGATCAGGGCACGCAGAAGTGGCATACGGGCCAGTGTGGCCGCCCAATGAAGCGCCGTGTGACTCTGGGGATCGATAGGCATATCAAGTTCTGCTGGACTGAATGTTCGTAGTAACTCATGCTTCGAGGTGTCATTGGGTGATGAATCCATGAACAAGCCCATCAAGGTGTTGCGCTTCATTTCCACGTCAGGAGACATTTCATACGGCAAGGGAGGCAAGGGGCCATTGCCGTCATCGCCGGCAGCGACGCCATCTTGGATTGCACTTTGGGTGTACATGAAAGACTCATTGGGTTCAGTGGGCGATCCTGGAAAGGCGGTCCCATACATGTCCATACTCTGGTTGTATCCACTGAAACTGTCGACTGGCGTCATTGTTACCCGCTGGCGTTTACGAGGAGGCTCATGCTCGGGCATGCCAGCCAAGGCGGCTGCTTGTTGCGTAGAGTATGCCGAATCCAATTGTTGGCTGTAGTCGGAGGTGTAGCTCTGTTGCGAGTTTCCGGGGAACTCATCGCCGTTCTGCATCGACGGCTGCCGGCTGAAGCTAGGTGCTCGGGCGGGGCCGTTTCGACTTCTTGGCCCCGGAGAGTCGAAGCGAGCTTTGCTGATGGCCGCAACCGCATGTGAGGCGGTGCTAGAGATGTTCTTGAAAAAGGTGCCGGACATGCCATTGGGTCTGGCATCTACCCCCGAGTTGTACAGTCGCTTCCTCTGAGCCGCCATGGCCTGCTCCTTGGTGGGAGTGTTGAAATCTCCTCTGCCGGCAACGCCACCGTCCTGTCCCATATCGTATGTCAGAAGTGGTCGCAGAATCTCTTCTACGCCATACTGCCGACAAACTTCGACGCCTCGTTCAAACTTGATCCAAGTACCCTGATATTTGCCATAGCCGCCCTGGACCTTTTCGTGCTCGCCTGTTTGTATCTCCTTTTCGAGAATCTTGGTTCGCTTGCCCTTGTCGACGCCGGCGACTTTGAGGATCTGGGTGGCGTTTAGCCAGGAATCGTTACGTCTTCGCATGACTGCCACGTTGTTGACCTCCATTTCGTAGACATCGACACCTGAATATGAAGCCTGCGACAAAGCAAATCGGTTAGCCACCTACATGCTTTCAAGTAGTTGGTTTGAAACGGACTGAGAGCACGTACAGAGTAGATCTGGGGCCCGTCTGCGCCATTATAGCTTTGGTGGAAGGAGGCGCTATGCCTCGGTTGGGACTGTTGGCTCATGGTAAAAGACTGTTGAGATGACTGTGATGCTGAAGGCATGTTGGCAAAATTTTGCGCCATTAAAGAAAAGAATTGAATTGAGAAACGCAAGAGGCCAAAAGGGAGGGATGCCGATTACTATGCGCATTGACGCCGTGTGGGCGGCACCTGGAAATTCGCGATGGAGGGAGCTGGCGTTCAAGAACAGATGGATGGCCGAGGGCAGTCGAGGGTCATGTGCGCGCGCACAAAATCGGCAGCGTGATGCCCGGCTGCTCTACTCGGAATCCGGTCGCAACAGTATACCAATACGACAAGAATTTGCAGCGTCGACGAAGGGGAGTTTGTCGGGTTGTGAGTCCCAGCTGCAGGCGAAATGAATGGCGGAGAACGGAGCAGGCAAGTGGGTTGGTTGCAGGGCAGCGCCGCGGTAGTTATGCGTGCACAAGTGCGTGCGTAAGTGAGAGACAACTCGACTGTGGAATGGTGGAGAGGAGGGGAAGCTGGAGCCTGGAGGTGCAGAATGCCCCAAGACGGCCTTGCCTGCTAACCAAGACGGGCCAATTCAATTGAGGCCCGGCCGGATGGCAAGCCTTGTACTCTGTAGCTACAGATGCCTGCCCGCGATGGGATCTGAAGAGGGAGCAAGAAAAAAGAAACGGGAAAAAGCAATTGGACACAATTACTGTCGAGGCGTTTGAGTGTTACACAGGCAAGAGGCTTGTCTCGCTCTTTCTGTAAATGGAAAGGCGAGGGTGCCGGCCAATGCACGAAATTCAAAACGAGGGGTGCAGCAACAGATAGACGAGGCATGCGCTGCCAGTGCCTGTCTGATAATCATGCGATGACGAAACTCGAAGCAGTACGGCTTCGTTGGGCCTCGTTGGCCGCTGCGCGTGGTCGTGGAATGCCGCCCGTCAATTAATTAAGACGTGTCGGTTTCGTGCACGGGTCGTGTTAAGGCGTGTTACGCGTGTCGCGCCGCCGACTATTTTTTTTTTTGGGCGGCGGTGACGGATCGTCTAATTCGAGGTTAGTAAGCTCACCAACCTTTACTACCTGATCGTGGGTGGGTCCCGCTTGAGTGCCTGCACGCGACACACAACCATCGAATGGCATCTTTGAAATGGTCAGCAGATGGGGGCACGCCATTCCTATTGCATTTGATCCTTCTCAATCGTTGGTTTCGGGGCAGTACTAAGTTGTTGCTGGTTTTGCAGAATCCTCGTTGCACCTGTTGACCGGCCACATCCGTGCAACCAACACATACCGTATCTTACGGTAGAAACCTGATCCTCAGTGACTGTGGGCCCCGAGGTTGGTCCGGGCCGCCGAGTGGCGCTCCACAGACTGTTGAATGATGAGCTTTCAACATTACGAGCGTCGTGCTTCTGCAATGCCTGCTATTATTCGTTCCTAGCTAACATTCTCCCATTCTCTATTTGTATTCCTCGCCGTAATGCCCGCCCCGACGTATCCCCTCCCTCAATCTCTTTCACCCATCCATCTCTATCGCCATCTCCTCCGGGAAGCTTCGTATCTTCCGCCCGCCTTCCGAGCCACCATCAACTCAACCATCCGGACTAGATTTCACAAGAGCCGCAAAGATGGAATACACACCAAGGGCCGACTGGCAAAGGCCAAGTCGTCACTTCGAACCTTGCGGGCTGCCAATAGCGGCGACAAGATTGCCATGCAGAGCTTGATGATGAAGGGGTTTGGCAGAACCGGCAACAGAAGACGAGAGCTAATGACGCAGCTTGTCAAACCGCAAGGTCCTAGCGACACCGAGGCCTTGGAGTCGTTGATGGATCAGACCGAGAAGTGCGACGCACAAATACAACCAGGGGCAGACGCCTCCAAGGCGAAGCCGGCGCGCAAGCCGAAGAATAATTTCTTCGAGAATTGGGATCAACCCAAGCTATTAAAAGTCCTCGAATCGCAGAGGCAGCACCAAAAAGATACGAAAGGCACAACTAGCTGGCCCGGAACCGCCGTGAGAACAGTCGATCCCGACCAATTTGTCCCCAAGACCAATACATGGGGGAAGCCGCCCGCGGAGAGCCTGGTGAGGGCCAAGCGAGCCCACTGGTGGAGGAGGAGTGCGGACAAGATCATGCCCCCGCTGGGTAAAGGAGAATGGGACCTGTTGCGGCGGCTAAGCAGCGGCGCGCAAGCAGAAGGCGAATGGGCCGTGCCTCGGCGGCGGCACTATGCGTCATCAGAGGTGCCTTTGCTCACGGAGTCGGCTCAGAGTTGGAGCTGGGAATCTTATGCCACAACGCCCGCCGCAAGAATCGAAAAACCCAAGACAATGTCTCGACAACGCCGAACGGGACAATACGATCTTGGTCCGTACGGTGGTCATGAGCGCAGCAAGCAAGTCTCAAACAGATGGTTCCGCAGAGCGTACAATAGGACATGGCAGCTCACCCCGATTGTGGAACAGGATCCGCACACGCTGCAGTACTCCCTTTGCTGGGGGAATGCGACATCCAAGTTGCCGTCTGCAACAGAAGCCCAACAAGGGATTTTCGAAAGCGTGGACAGAAAAGGGAACAAGATTCACAAAAAGCCAGATGCATGACTTGGAGCACCGCACTGCCATTCCTTTTCCATGTTGTTCTCCTTTTATTCCAGTAGCGCGGGAAACTTCTATGGTATCGAGTCTAATCCAAAGAATGTGCCAACTTGTCCAATGCCTCTCCGTCAAGGCGCATGCCAACCCACTCATCCAACGCCTGCGCTCCAAGACTCTCATAGAAGTTGATGCTGGGCTCGTTCCACTTGAGCACGACCCATTCGAGCCTTCCGCCCTTCATGGCGACGACCTGCTTCGCCAGCTCGGCCAACAGTCTCTTGCCGTACCCTCGCCCACGCTCGGAAGGCTGGACGAAGAGATCGTCCAGGTGGATGCCGGCCTTGGCCCGCCACGTGCTGTAGTTGTAGTAATACAGTGCCATTCCGACGGCCTTGCCCTCGGGGGAGAAGAGCAGCAAGCAGCGGGATGGCCGGTCAGGAGTGATGGCTTCGGTGTTGGGGACCGTGGCGTCGTTGCCGGCTGAGTCGGACGGGGCAAAGGCAATTGTCCTCTCGAGTGACTCGACGGTGGCCTCGACGGCATCGGGCTCCTTTTCGTACTCGGCGAGGGCCTGGATGAGCTCGAGGATCACGGGGGCATCTGTCAACGGTCGTTTTGTAAGTTTGGGAGCAGATGGAGGTTGGGGCCTGGCTGTTCAAATGAGGGCATACCTTCCCGTCGAGCATGTCTGATTGTAGCCATGTTTGAGTGTGCTTTTGTGATGGTTCGAAATGCAGGGTTTTGGCTCAAGGGGCAGTCTGTTTTTGTGCTTCATACAATGGGCTGTGAAGCTTTCTGCGACACCGGAGTGATGCAGGAATATGTTCGCGGGGCTTTCATCGAAGGGCGCACAAGCATGTTGTGGTGGGGGAGGCGTCAAGCTAGTTGGATTTAGGTGGATCTTTGTTCAATGCCAGACAATAGTTGCATGCTTATGTATGTAGTCTAGAATTACTTCTTCCGCCGAGGTATCGTGGCGGTTGGTTCAAGGACACATCGGGGTTCACTGTTGTGGAAGCAAACCCAGAGACTAGCACAACCGGGACGTTGTTCACAGAGTTGACAGAATGGAGTCGGTGAAGTTGCTCGTGTGGGATATATTGTGCCATGTTCTACTGTGCTGTGATTGTATATATCTGCACATGTGCATGTCGAGATCCAACTCACTTCACTGTTCACCGCTGTCTCATGCGATTACATGAGGACTTGCGACATGGAAATACCAGCTCGGGACTTACACCACACCTCAGTCCGTTTGCCAATAAAAGGGCTCTTTGCTTCTGTCTTCTATCATTCAGCGCTGCATGAACTGAAAGAAGCTCTGCATATGCTAAGAGAAGCATCGGTAAATGTCCACACCGGTGCTGTTCTGCAGTCCATAGGACTGTATTTCCGCGAGATTTCTCAAGTGCATGGATAGAGCTGAATTGTCTTCCGAGTTCGACTTTTGTTGCCGTTCCTACTCTGTGCCGATGTTCATTGTCCGTGGCAGTTGAAATGATTCCTCTACTTCTATATAAACTAGGCCATCTCGTAGAGTCAACTCTAGTCAATTCAACCCGGCAGTCATCTCAACATCGACAACTACATCTCATCCTACAGTCCTCTCAAGGTTCCCAAAAATGCCTAACCCAAGGGCACGGGGCCAAGCAAGGTCACACTCTGCTGACCGATTCCGTTATCGACTTGACATGCACCTTGTACCCCAAGAAATGCTGTCAGAACATCCGCCAAGCAGTATTTCTGAGGATACAATCCGGGATCGCATTTCTCGGATATACAATGCACTTATCAATAAAGGCATGAAGGTGCAAACTGAGTCCGCAATGAGATCTTCTGAACTACTGGCACTTCGGGAGCTCCTGCAAAAAGGGCGATGCACTGGCTACGACACACTTCTCGAGACAACGTGGTTTGTATACCGAGTAGATCCCAGTCTTGGCAAGCCTCAGAAGCCGCAAAATGCCCACATTGGTGTCATCACACCACTTTTCAGCAAGGAGCGCTATCGCCTCAGATACCAGCTCCCATCTTCCACCACAAGTTGCCCGATATACAAAGGGATCGAGGCCATCTTTGCCGCCGCCAAAGAGGGTGGTTTCCCCTTTTCGGACACCTATGCCATTTCAGCTGGCGTCTTTCTACCAAACGATCACCCATTGATACGCTCATCGAACCCTGACAATGTTTTGAACTACACGGCCTTGCTTGCCCAAAGTTTACGATCTCCAATGATGATCGACCCGTCCGCTCTCGTCACGGTCAAAGTGCCTTCAACAACAAATGATTGGCGTCCTGTCATCCCCAGCTACGACCACCCTGCTTATCTTGCTAGACAGTGGTTCTACTTGGTAGCACGTGTCTACGAGAGGGCTTTGCTTCATCCGATCAGACGCCGAGAGCCGATTAATGACCTGATTAACACTTGGGAGTTTGCGGAGGGTAACAAGACAAGAGCTTGGACTAAAATTCGGCGCTTCTTGAAAAGGTATTCCCAGCATGGAAACATGCGGCAAACCGACGTGAACTTTTGGGACAATAGATGGGCGGAGTTTGGGAAACATTATTGCAAGATGGAGAAACGTTCAGTTGGCAACAAATGAATGGAGAGACGGATACCGATGCCTCGGGGAATGGACAGTAAGGACACCTGTACTTCTCTCCAGCGTTGGCATTCACGAACCACCTCCGCACTCAACTTTCAAGCTTTGCATTCGCATGCGGCTGGCACATGACACGGCACACGTACCAGTACGCCAACCTCCGTGGGCAGAGTGTCTACATGCAGTGTTTTCTTTTCTCTTCTTTTCAATCGGGCCATCATGGTGCATATACGAACAGGAAATATGGTTGGAATTGTGGTGTACTCAACTTGCAGGGTTTCGTCATCAAATCCTGATTCCTGAGGCTATGAGATCAGGGGCAGCCTCCTTTCAACAAGGGGCTTTGGAACAATAGTGGGTCGCTTTTGCAGATAGTTTTCCATAAAATCTACCATGTCTTTCGCTATTCTCATTGTCATGAAACCCGTCTCGCCAAGTGTGCCCTCGGACATCTCGAGCATAGTATATGATAGACAAGAAAGCCAAGAGCGTTTAAGGCGTTGTAAGCGGAAGTTAGCCTGCCAACATTCAACAACGTCGTAATCGACCGGACAGAGAACTTGCAGCAGATGATTGTAATTCAGTATTTTTAATCTCGTGCGACGACTACATCTGCATGTTACATGGTATCGTGATGGAGCAAAAAATTTGACTGGTTCAATAATCCAACATTCCTCGACCCAAGCAGCCAGTATACCCTAAAAACTATAACAGATAGCGGTATTTGGGGTTCATATCGCCCAGAGCCAGTTTCTCTTCTTCTGACAGATGGTCCACGTCATGTTTACCATTTTGACGGTCATTGTTTGCCTTCCAGCAGGCAAACGCGTACACGACGCAAGCCACAACAGAGACACAGCAGAATGCGATACATAAAGAGTAACCAAGGCTATAGTCTTGGACACCTTTGGCGCCCGAGTCTTGCTTAAACGCAAAAGCAGCAATAATGCCACCTAGATTACCGAAGCCAACTTGCCAGGCGCTCCCAACGGCTCGTCGGTGGTGGCCACCCAAGTTCATATTGAACCAGCAGACGATGATAGGCATTGCCGTGTAGGCGCCCATAGCAGCTAGGAAAAGAGCAGCATACTGCGCGTCCAGGTTTGTGTGAACGGTGAGAAGGATGGCGAACCCCGAGATGGCAATGCCAATGGGGACCACAGCGAAGAGGGCTCGATGTCGTATCTTGTCTGAGGCGTAAGCGCACATCATTGAGAAACCAAACGCAGCAACCCACGGGGGTACACTGCGCAGCTGAGTCTCAATTTTGCTGTAGCCATAACCGTTCAAAATCGTCGGCGCAAAGTATGCATAACCATAGGCCGGGACAATAAGACCAAAGTACATGAAGCCACCAACGATGACCTTGTAGTCTTTAAAGATGTTTCCGACATCACGCAAGGTGATCTTGCGGTCCAATCCAGCTTTGCCCTGGTCGAGGCGGAGCCTGGCAGCGACATACTCGCGCTCATCCTCCTTGAGCCACTTTGCTTGCTCAGGGAAGTTGGGGAGCCAGAAGTAGAAAAAGAAGCTGACGAGCACAGTAAGGCCGCCTTCGATGATGAAAATCCAGCGCCACCCGCTATAACCACGCATTCCACTCATTTTACCAATGGCGGCAGCAAGCAGCCCGCCAAAGGCGCCGGCCAGGGTTGTGCTATTAAAGAAGAAGGAGTATCGCCGTTGGGCTTCATGCCGGCGGTACCACATGCCAATCAAGTAGAATGCTAGCCGCGAAAGAAGCGTGAATCAGTCCAATGTACTTGGTGTGAGAAATTTGCGCAACTGAGAGAAAGCAAGACATCACTTACCACCGGGAAACATGCCTGTTTCAAACAATCCGAGGAAAAATCGAGTTGTCAGCAAGCCGGCATAGTTTCGAACCAGCCCCTGCATCATGGTGGTGAAGCCAAACAGAAACATGTTCAAGGAGAGCCACGTAGACGGCTTGAATTTCTTGAGGAGTATGTTGGACGGAATCTCAAACAAGACATATGGCACGAAGAAGACGACAATGGCCGTGTTAAACTTTGAGGGATCATCTTTGATGCCAAGGTCGGTCTCAAGGTCGAAAATCCTAGCATTAGCGATATTGACTCTATCTGTGAAGTAGAATTGGTTAGTTTGTCGAAATCGAGATAGTAGCCCGTCGGAAAGGCGGGTAGACATGTTGATTGTGTTCTTACCAAGAAAAGCCAGCAAGTACATGACACAAAGGAACGGAACGACATGAAGGTCAATCTTAGTTAGAAGCCGGAGATCGGTCGTGTGTGACGGACACCTGACCTCTTCCTCGTCGGAAATGCCATCCTTGAAATGCTGTTCCTGTGTGTCAGAGAGCATACCAGTCTCGCCAATCTGAGGCTGGCTGAGCGAGTCGCGATTTTTCTCATCCGCAGGGACTGCCATGGTGGGCTGTGAGGATTCTGATCGTGGATCAAACGACCAAGGTTCAAATGTCTGCGGATAGTTGTTTCGACCGACGCAAGGACACTCGAATTTGGCCAGGTATCACAATCTCCGCGCGTGCACACAGCGAGAAGAGATGAACGATGACCGTGGCAGCACGGCAAGACCCCAGTTGGCGCGAGGATCAAACATTCTCACGACTCGGCCGAGGTCGGCAGCATGGAGGGTTATTATATGGAGAAGAAGGACCGTGTCTTAGAAACTAGAGCATAAGCTGAGGTAATTGAAAATGGCCAACCACTTGGATCTTGCAATGGGGGCCCCGGAGGACCGGGGGGGTTTAATGTTGGGAGAAATGGAATCTCCGGCGTGGAGGGCTCCAGGGGACATCGATCCGGGTAAAGTACTTAGTACCAAGTGGAGGCAGCCCAACAGCCGCTAAAACGCCTCTGGACCGTTCAATGTTTAATCGATTTGTTCAAGTAAGTGGTCAACTGCTGGTAGAATTGACATGGGGGTCCACGTCGGATCCGTGTCGGACTTTGGCGCCCGACTTCAAGGGCAGGCGCGACCGGTTCATCCCTTCGCCCCCCGCCGCGAGCCTGAGGCTAGAAATATGCCAACCAGACGCTAAAGGGAGTCATTGCGGCCCCCCGGCTTGCTTCTCGAACCATTCAAATTGTCACCAACATGCTGCCACCCCCACACATGCCTCGTCTAATTACTCCTTTGGTCTTTAGATTTTGTGGCGGACTAGCCATGCCTTCGCAATCCTCAACGTTGCTTTGCCTCTTCAAGTGCGGCTGAAACCTTATTGCTGACATGCTGCATGGCTTATTGCTTATATGCTGCATAGCTTATTTGCTTACATGCTTGCAATTGGAGCATCCGGCGCCCACGGAGCAAGGCAGGATCCGCGGACATGCAAGCTGTATGGCAACATTACGGGTCTTGAAGGAAACCATCAAACGAGAAAGGGATCCATTGCCGGTTTTCTCTCTGCGCACAACGGCCCGCAGCATCTTGGACGTCGGGTACAACATGCGGTGGCAATGTCAGCCTCGCATCATCACCTCATGTATTTGCGGCCGGCGTCGGGAGGCCAAGACCACCGACTGCCCAAGTTTGAGTCACGCAAGCCGTTTGTCACCTAGGTCGTTCATCACGCCTTCTATGAACATCCAATGCCTCCGGGATACGAGAGACGGACAACACCGACTGACTGGTTGTCTGCTGAACTCAATAGCAAGTCGACTGTTGGCTTGAGAAACGTCCGCTATCTCCAGTGCCTATTCAGCTATATGCGATATCTATCATGTTGCCAGAGTTTCTTCCACGAGTTTTCCTTTATTGGAAGTCCTGCTGACATTCAGATCAACGCATCGATAAGGTGTGCATGATGCCCTGGTCTACCGTGCACGCCACCACGCCGGTGAAACAACCGAAATGAACAATCTCTGCATCGGTTACGAGCGGGCTAGCTCTCCCCGCATAAACACACTTCGGGATTCTTTAGCCGACATGGGTTGGAAACTGGCTAGAGCTGAGGGGGCTCTCTTACACACGACGGTACATTTCTTCGTGGAGGCCTCGTCGTTATTTGAGTAGTAGTGTTTGAAGCAATCAGACGACCGATTATTTGTTCGGAGGTTGGTGAAAGTGGGAAAGGACGTCCAGGATATAGTATATACTGGTGCCCAACCAAACACGTTTGCAATTGGAAGCCGGAACAGTCTATATGTACATTCCCGATCTCAAAATGGGAAGATGCGGGATCCCGAGAAATCTACGGCCGTTGATGATATGGAAGGCTCTCTCGCTCGTTTGCAAGTCAAGAATGATCATTCATAAAGTTGACTTATTTCACAAGCCTCCCGCTTTGCTATCGACCATTCTGAAAGGGTGCAACGATCCACATTGACGACACCAAGAAGCCAAGTTCACAGTGTCATCAACCAGCTCTTGTATCATCACGTCAATGATGAATACAAATGGCGATGGATTATTCGACGAGCCAGTGGCATCGTCCACTCAATCCCAGCATCCAAAATTATGGACCGACGAATACAACAATAATTTGGTCAAAGCCTGGGGATTGGAACTCTGCCCTCGATGGGCCCGTCATGATGAGTTTCTCTGCCTGGAAGGAGATGCTATTCAGCCATCACGCCATTGCGAAGATCCCGTTATCAATGAAAAACCTCTAATTCAAGATTACTCGATGCATCAGCCCTTTTCGGGGATATCCACAGGGTGAGTTAGGAGATGTCGTATTCGCAGTGCATACGCTAATTTAAAATCTCTCTATTTAAAGTAATTCCAATAATATGAAGCCATTTGGAGGACTTATTCTGCCAGATACTTCCGTGAATGAAGACATTTTGACCAACTCCTGCCACCACTATAGCCTTCCTGGTGGATTTTTCGATCGCAATAGATCCGTAGGATCGGGCCATGAAGAACACTCTTCCACATCAGAGACTATCATTGACGGTATTGAAAACGCATCTGAGCTCACTGCACAGCGCATGAAACGCAGTGTCGAGAACGAATTCAATGATATTAGCGGTCCCCGAAGGAAGAAAGCCCGCAAATTTTCTCCAACGACGGCTGAGATAACTCCTGAAAACAAGGCCATACAAGACAAAAGTAAAGAATCTCCAACTAGAGTATTTCAGGAGTTGTTTAAAAGTAAGCATCATGCCGATAAATCATTGGAAACCATCATAGAGCTACATCGCAAACCGGTGTCAGATTGTTCCTTTCCGGCAGATGACGAATCTTTTCCCAAGACAGATGAAGAATATCGTCAGAGGGTTCGCCAGGTATTCGATGCCATCTGCGACTGGTCGCATATTTTGGAGTGGAGGACAGTCTTGCCTAAGGGCCAAGAGAATCGCATCAGTGCTGAATTCTCACAAGACAGACCGGAGCGCCGTCAGGGGGAGTCCATGGACGATCCACCGGCAGACTTTATGCCAACCGAAGCCGAACTTGTCAAAATACTGCCGCCCGTTGAAGATCAACAGCGAAGGGTCCTAAGGCAAATACCTAATGACCAGACAATTGAATGGATTTCATGGGGCATTGTGGTATTTTTTTTTCTTTTTCTGGTGATTACACCGCCAAATGTTGGAAGCAGATTATTGACACGATTCAGGGTGCAGCTATCAAGTCCCAGCAGGGGAATACCCAAGTTCCATACTGGTGCGTCTCGGAAGGCGGTTAGGAGCCGTACGAAACGTTTGACGCCCGACTGAAGGAAGTCTGTCGTGTTTTGCGGGTGCGTAGTCTGCTCTCCCGATACCGTGGCCCAAACACGACCGACTTTGTGTCCAGTGCTTACAAAGGGGATATTGGTAGCTCTCGAAACAAGTCGTCAAGTCTCTCCTTGGTGCTGGCAACGCTTGGCAAATACGGATTGTCAACCACCCACAGAAAGAGCTCAAGGTAAATTTACAAGAAACGAGTCTAGGATTTCAGTGCTGATAATACAACACTGCCAGACAAAGCGAGTAAACTCGAGAGGAAATTTTGCCAAGGGCAAGATTTTGAAACGTTCTGTAAGGGTCGGCGATGACACCCCTGGAGGAAAATGAAGTTGGCATTGCAGCCGGTCTGGAAAGTCCTTCCATGTTAGCCAATTTTACCACCCAGCATGGTCATGCAGGTTGATAAAGCACCTTTCTGGCGTGAAAATTAGGTGCTCGAGGCAAAATAGATATAAATAAACACTTTTGAAATCACACCCTATACTTGTCTACGTCTGTGTCTCTTTCAGGCATCAACAAGACAATTACTCTCGGTACGCTTTACAAAAAGCCCCTTGCATCAAGCCACCCCCGGCTTCTTCCCAACCATCAGATACATGGGAGTGAACAACTTCCTTTTCCCGCCCTCGACCAAGGCGTCGGCCGCCCTGCCCAGACTCTCGGCCGTCTTCTTTGTGCCAGACGGCACAATCCTCGCCATCTCAAGGGCTTGCAAAAACGCATGCGCCACCACCCTCCCCCAGCGGTTCATTCTCAAGACGGTCAGCGCATCCCAAAAATTCTGCGCGTAACTCAGATCTGACCCGAGCGGCCAGTACCATGGCGCGGGACCGCTGTCCGTGGCCGCGAGATCCTCATGGTAGACCAGCTCGAAGCCGGCCTCCCTTATAGCCGCCAGTCCCTCACGTGCCCCAAACATCTGCGGGATACCGTCTCCCTGTTCAATATCAAGTCTGATTCGGCGATGTTCAAGGTCCTCGTTATCATAAGTCTCCGTCATGAGCCATTCGTAGACGCCAAACATGCCGCCTGGTTTGAGAACGCGGTTGATCTCGCGGTATACGCCAACGAGCGAGGGCGCATGGCACGTCGCTTCAATCACGTACACGGCGTCAAAGGAGTCATCCGGAAACGGCATTTTCTAAGCATCCACCATTAGCATTCAGACTTTTTGTACGGGGCCAGACCAAAAGCCGGCCCGCATGCAGAACACGAGAAGGGCGAAGCATCTCCCACCATAAAGTCCCCTTGGACGAAATCCAGCCTCTCGGCCAGTCCCTCCTTCTCGGCGTACGACTTGGCCCGCTGGACCTGGTACTCGTTGATGTTGAGCCCGGTGACGTGGCATCCTGCAAACTTGACCATCTCGCGCGCTGGGCCGCCCACGCCGCAGCCGACGTCCAGCACTTTCATGCCCTTCCTGAGGCCGACGTGCGCGGCGAGAAGGTGCTCGTGCCGGGCGATCGCCTGGGGGAATGCCTCGCCGTGCGCGAAGCGGCAAAAGTGGAACGACTCGCCCCAGGCGTTTTCGTAAAAATCCGTCGCGATATTGTAGTACCTGCAGACAATGGTGTAAGTCGGCCATCTCACCGGTACAAAGGTACACTCGTGCGAGAAGGGGCACGGGAAGGGGTTGCAAGTAAGCCATACTGTCTAGTCAGGCTAGCGTAGTCGTCGGCTCGAGCCTGGCGGACGGCCTCGGTCTCGTCCTGGGCCTTTTTGTTGTCCCAGTGTTGGAAATACTCCTTCACGGCCGCCTCGTTGGCGCCTCGGTCCTTGCCCATCATGGCACGCAAGCCGCCGCGGGACTCGGACGATGCGCCATGGAGAATCTTGTCGAAGGCAGCGTGCCTCGCGTCATTTTCCGATACCAACGTCCGGCTGGACATGTTGATGCTGTGGGAAAGGGGAGAATACAATTGTGGTCAGGGCAAGATGTTGCGAGATTGCTCTAGCCAAGCAAATAAATAAAGGAGAAAAGTATGTAAAATCAACGACACGGAAATTTCCAACCGATTCTGCTAGATATGAGAAGAATATATGAACATCTTATAACTTCACTACCAGAACCTGGCAAGCATTTTCTAGTATTGGCTTGTTGTACACCAACAGGAGGGCAAGCGCATATGCGAATACGAATACGAGTGCATCCGACAGCGACGAAATGCGATGCACCGCCCAGCACGGGAGTCTCGGTAAAGTTCACGCGGCTGAAATGAAATAGGGCCCATGGGTATTTTATGGCTTGCTTCCGATTCATTCATGCGGCATTGCTAAGGCTCCCCGGTTAAAACTTAAGACTACGCCTCCGTGACGAGAGAGTCGCAATCTTACCGCGACGTACTCAAAGTGAAACACGAATACGTTTGCGGGCGGGAAATTCTCCCATATTGTAAATCCCCCATGTGATTATGGGTATTGAATTGCTTTGTAAAAGCCTTTGCGCGGCATGAAGAATGCTATATGGTATGGCAAAGTGCAAAACGTATTTCAGTAGAGCAGGTACAAAGCTGTCCCGCGGTATAGTGTAATATGCTGGAGCAAACGAGCAAACACTTAACAATATTCAAATTAAATATATTTCGTCGCAGAACTGTATACACTTGTTTCAGTCGGTCCACTCGCCCCCTACCCATCTGTTGACAAAGTCAAGAGCACCTTCAGGCTGGTCATATGGAACCATGTGCCCTGCCTTGTAGACTCGTAGAAATGCAAATCCCCGCACGTGCCTCAAGCTCCCATAGGCCTTTCCAGAAGAGGCTGTCAACTCGACCATGCTGGCATCGTTGAAGTCGGTTTGGCCCGGCCACGGCAGAGCCTTTGTCCAGGCTTCGTTGCCCAGCCAATTGCAGATGAAATCGACGTCGCCTGCATAGATGAGAACCGGGATCTTTTCCAAGAGTCTCGGAACGTGTTTCTGGATGGGAAGAAACCAGTCACCGGCCTGTTGGAAGGCAGCGTTGACGTGGTCGTTGCAGGTCTTGAAGTTGGCAACTTCGACGCCAAGGGCTTCCATAACATCCTTTCTATTCAGCCAGTCTTGAATCCAGTTCATCTCTTCATAGCATAGATCACCTCCAACACACTTTTTCCGTATGTCGTAAATGTTGAGGCCTGTTGACGCAAAGGCACCAAGTAAGGGGTAATTGCAACGGTCGCCCGCGTTGACACACGCGGCATCTTCTCCGTTATAGCAGGCCTTGATCGCGGCCTGGCATTTGGGGAGTGCATGTTCCATAGTTTGGCAAGTATAATTACTGAGGACAGGCTTATATCCTCCACCTCCGCAGCCCATGGGCTCGTAATAGGCATACTGGGTGTAGGGATCGGTGAGGCCGTTGCCAATCAAGATGCTTTTGAGGTTGATGTTACGAGCAGGGTGGGAGAGAATTTCAGAGGCAAAGACTGGGATATAATGACCGGCATAGGATTCGCCGGAAATATGGAAATCCTGTTCAGAATATTCGGGAAATTGCTCAAAAAACAGGGTCATCAGGGCGTAGACATCTTTAGCAGCAGCAGCTGTGGTGTCGACGGGAACGTTGCTGTAGGAGAAGCCGGTGTTAACGGGCTGATCTAAGAAGATAACAGAGGCATTATTGTTCCAGGAGTATTCGTTTCGGACAAGGCTGCCATTCTTGTCAATGTGAGAGGGACCAAGCTCCATGAAGAGTCCAGACATGGAAGAACAGCCAGGCCCTCCGGTAAGCCATAGAATAACAGGGTCCTTCTTGGGGTCGTTGCGAGATTCAAAGAACCCTTCAGTAAAATGAGAATTAGCTACATGGATACTAGTAATGCTCATCAGACATTGACTTACAATAGAAGAGATGCTTGTCCGTGGAGTTGTCATCGAGATATCCAGTGTACTGCTTGACCGTGTCAACGCCAAGTCTACTGGGGTCAACCGCATTAGCACGCAATTTATAGTTGACAAGATGGCCACCGTATTTCTGGGAAGCTTTCACATCAGCTCCACTGATTAAATAGCTGAATTCGCCATCTCGCTTGCCAAAGGACTCCTTGGTAGGTGGGATTTCTGTTGCTTCATCGGGATATGGGTTCGGGAACGCGGCTGTCACCGAGACTAGCCCAAGGAAAAATGCAGCAGAGAAACGCATGGCGGATGGAGAGGACAACATGCGGTAGCCCCAAGCAGAAAACTGCGGGACAAGGGAGAGACCAGTTTTGACCTCTTGTGGGAAGTCCGGCTGTTATTCAGTCTCTAGAAGATGAATATCAAGAATGTCGCATAAAAAAAAAAGAGCATGGCCAGAGGACAGACACAGTGGCGTGCGGTTCCTCCCTGAATATATATAGATATCAATTGATATGTGTCTTGTGGCACGAACCCTAATTACCAGGAGCTATCAAGCTAGCATTACCTAAGAATAAGATCGTGTTTTGTGGAAGGACCAATGGACTCGACTGGACTAGCCGGCTTTCCCTACTGCCTCGTAGGAAGGTACCTAGTTGCCGGGTCTTTCTCCAAGGTCGATCATGAGAGTCGGCTTCGGCTCCTCGGGCAATACCATGGTGTTTGTGGTTTGTAGATGGGTAATGCTGCGTGGACCAAACCCACAAGTGTGCCTAGGTCAGGACAGGAAGGTAGGTGTGCAAGGCCAATGCCATGGTGGGCGCTCGCAATCATAGCCTTTTCCTAATAATGATGACGTCTCACCGGTGGCTATTTTGGGTTGACACTTGAACCTAGATCAAGCGGCGAGGCAGCTGCTGCCCGACATAGCTTCGTCGGCGTCATAGCGCTCTCAGCATTGCATACGGCGAGGTCAGTCCGGAAGAACCCAGGACAGGTGAAGCTCGAGTGAGTGATGGTGTCGAACACACACCAAGCTCGACTGCCGATCTTCTACGTTCTCTCCAAGCTCGGTGCGGCCCCATGCGGGTCCCGGATAATGGCGACAATGTGGCGTAACTGAAGATGCAGCCTTTCCGGGCTGTTCGCCGTATGGCGTTGCGTCGGGTCCGGCCTCATGTTCGAGTTGGTTTTTGTCATTTCCCCAATTGCCGACATGTCATCAATCGCTGTGACCCCGTACGGACAGACCTGGGCCAACGCCTGCCTGAACGGGTAGGTGAAGAATACCTCTTCTGGGGCAACATCGAGATATGACGTTGCTGGAAAGATCAGGCAATGGAAGTCTCCCCTTGTTGTCGAATCATCTTGGCAGGGTGCATTACCCGTTGTGGAAACTGTCGGGCAGGAACAGCCGAAAACACGACGACACATGAGAGCATGTGGTGGCGCTCTGCCGACCAGTCCACACAGAATTTGAAGTCATGGAAGGTCTATTCGTTCATTCGCACCATGGCCCATCTTGGCAGGCGTTCGGAACAACGGCACAAATGCATGGCTTCCGTCAACCGCCTTGGCATTTATGGGCGCAGATCAGGTGGGGGGTCCATTGATACGAGGGTTGTCGTTTGCATTGCACTCATCGTCTCGTCACATGCAGATTCAGACGCTGAGCATTTGCTTGGCCGACCAAGTGGCGGCTTTGATCTCGGTTTGTAACGCATTTGCGCCGCAGTGTGAAAAGATGGTCACGACATCGACTCACGACATGCCGCCTCAGGCTCTCAGCACGTGGCTACAGGGTGCATTGTTCACACCGACCTAGTAGTCCCTGCTACTTAGGTACATATGTCTGTGCATAGGTATATATGTACCTTTTAGTGTATACCTAGGCACTTATGCATATGAGTGTACCGAGTATAAGCATATATACATTTGTCACACTCGCGCAAGTCAACAAATGCGAAGCCAAAAGTGTGGTATCAAAAAAGTAAATATCAAATACATCGCTATGTTGAATTACTAGTCTCATGTTGAAAAGGAATACATCGAAAATCATTGAGAATCATTAGGATCCTGGGTATCCTTGGTCCGCTCTCCCAGCGGCCGGGTAAAGAAATAACTCTTTTCCCATCCATCAATGTCATCAACGACCGTCTCCCGCACAAGCTCGTACCTGCCGATCTTGGGGAGGATAACAGCCCAGATTAACCAGTACACGCCTCCAGCCAGAATCACACCAAACCCGACAACGCAGTGGATCCAGTATGGCAGGCTCTCGTATACACTCTGCCCATCCTCGGGGGGCACAAACGGAGCCACGACCAAGTATATGTTGCTGAGGAGGAAAAAGATGACCACGGGGAGGGTAGCCTTGAGGGGAGGATTCCAGTTTCTCGCCGCCCGGTTGCGGTACAGGTGAATCAGCCCGCCTGCGACAAACGTGTTGATGATGGCCAGCGGGTACGAAATGAGGTTGAGCACAAAGTTGTACGCGTCGCCAGATGGGGGGGCCAGAATCGTAATCGCCGTGACGAGCCAGTGCTCAAAGAGGCCGGCGAGAGGAGCGTTGAAGGGGCGGTTGCTCGCCCAGAAGCGCGAGAAGGGAAGGACACCCTCGCGCCCGAGTTCCTGGACCAGCCGGCCCTGGGAGAAGATGACGCTCAGGACGTTGCCAAACGCAGACAATGCAACAAAGACGGACAGGGCCCGCTCGGCAGACTCTCCAAACATGTTGCGGAAGAGCGAGGCCGCCACCAGGCGCTTCGATTCCAGCATCTCCTCTTTCGACACGGCCGCAAAGTAGGCCACGTTTGCGAGCATGTACAGGACGGAAATGGTGCCGAGGGCCAGCGGGGCGGCGAACTTGAGCGTCCTGGCCGGGTTCTTGGTCTCGCTGAGGGCGTAGTTGGCGTTGCTGTAGCCGACAAAGCTCCAAATGACGTTGTACAGCGCCGTGACGACGCCGTACGCACTGCCGGTCGTGCCCTCAAACGGCTTGGAGAAAGTGTTGTTCTCCCTCACCTTTTTGAGATTGACCAGCGGGGATATGACGATGATGACAATGACGAGGATCTTCAAAATACCCAGGAAATTCTGCAGTCGGATTCCCCATTTCAACGCCGTGCCGTGGATCAAGAAGGCAGCCGTCAGACATGCCAGCGCGATGCCTCGCTGGTTCCACCGCGTCACATTGACCTGCGCGGCGTGCAGGATGTACTCGCCAAAGATGACAGAGTTGCCCGCCGCCCACCCGAGGAGGATCACATAGCCAGTGTACAGCGACGTGGTGAGGAACTTGGGCTTGCGGTACACGAATTCGAGGTAATTCTTCTCACCGCCGTTGCGGGGCAGTCCCGTGCCAAACTCCATGTAGACTGCTGTTCCGGCGGCGGCGATGAGCATGCCCACAAGCCAGATTATGAGCGACAGGCCCGGGGAGCCACACTGGGCAAGAATGGTTGCCGGCGTGGCAAAGATGCCGGTACCGATGATGCGGTTGAAGATGAGCAGGGAGGCCGAGGGAATGCCTATCTGGCGTTTGTTTTCGCGGGCGATTTCGAGTTGGCCTATTTTGGTTCCATGACTGTCAGTCTTGTGTGAAGGCCCTTGGTGGCGTGAGGCTGGCCAGCAACGTAGGGCTGAGGGAAAACAAGCATACCATTCTCTGTGTCGAGCCCCGAGCTGGCATCGCTAGGATTCACCTTGACAGTGTCCTTGCCCTCAGCGCGGGCGCCTCCAACAAGGCGGTCCATCTTTGTGCGCAAGGTTGGCTTTCTCGTCAGTTCAGATGATGAGGCCGTCACACATGCCAAGCTTTATATCAACGCACGAGAACCCAAGTAAGAAGGAGCCAAGATAAGACACCAACAGATAGGGACGAGCCAATACAACATAACAAATATGGGGAACGAAAAAAGGCTCAGACGGACTGCTACGCCGTCGACATATTTAAAGAAAAATCTTTGCCCGCCGCAGCACGAAGCCAAGAGTCAGGTCCCAAAGGTCCCCAAGCACCTCATCGTCGTCCTAACAAGAAGTGTGGATACCCGAAGCGGGTGTCGCAACGCTAGAAGCCCATCAGAAGCAGCGATTGCTGTGTCTAGAGCTTCTCCTGACCCTCTTTTGCTCACCTAGGCGGGTCTCGTGAGAATGGTGCCATCGCACCCCTTGGTTGACGTTTTTTCTAGGCATGGAATGCATAAGGGCTCTTTGCTTGATGCCTCACGTTGTTGCATGAGTCGTCACGCCAGGCTGCGACTACATTTTTCATTCAGCCGATACCTTTGCTACGGTGCTCGGGAAATCTGTCTGCTAAATCGGATAATTACCTAGTATAGCCACAATCTGTAAAAACTTCTTCTCTTATCCGCAGTAGACTTCACCCAAATTCACCCAATGTGAGGAAATTTGTGCATGGTAAAAGACTGGAGTGTCTTTCTTTTTTCGGCACTAGCTTCGATGACGCGATCGACAAAGCCGCCTGTTTTAAGAAACATGGGCCAATCAAGCGGGTCGGGGACTAAATTAGAATGGGGCCGGAGCTGAATTTCAACGTCTGATTTAAGCATGGAGCTCGGCCCTTGCTTTTTTAAGCTGCGGGTGCGCATGGGAGTGGTGGTGGTGGCGTCGTGATGGAATATTCGGGGCTTCTGTGGTGACGGGAATGGTGGAGAAATGGCTTCGATCGATGTTGCGCAGGTTCACTTGAAGTTTCGATTCTCTGGAAACCTACGGAGTATACGGCGGTGGCACGTGGTGTCTGGGTTGAGGCACAATTTCGATGATACCTCGCAAGCTCGGCCATGCCAACACTGGCCACTTGTGGTGTGTATAAAGGCCCTCGTCAACCAAACTACCATCAACTGCCATCTCTACCATCAACTGCGGCCTGTTCTCGGTTCTCGCTGCTTCGAAATCACCCCCTGAGCCGCCCCTGGAACGTCCCTGAGCCGGCATCATCCGTGGTTCCCGTGGAGTCGTCGACTCGTGGCGTCTTTTCACCAATGGCATGATGTATAAATGCGACATCTCGGCCCTACCTTACTTCAGCCGGTCATCCATGATTCCATGACTGCGAAATAGCTCAAATGGCTCCGTCACGCAATTGTATTTCCTGACAGGCTTCACGACTCGCGAGCGGGCGCCTCATTTAACATGGATTGTGTATTGCATGGCCATCAGCCGTAAGCATTACTAAAATTTGTCCCAACTACTCCAGCCTTCCCGGTCTATCATCGGTATCATATTGTTTCAAAGGAGGGAGCATCCAGCGGTAAGGAGTGTCATACAATGGCGTGATTC